GGCTGTGCGTCGTGCGTCCTACGTGCACTGGGGTACAAACACCGCTGCAACACGGATGCGATCTTCACACCTCCGTGTTCCCAAACACCTAGCGCCTCGGTGTACAGTGCAGCCCTGTCCACCGCCAACAACTCCGCCAGCAAATCTGCCTGATCCGCATCAGCCACAACACAAAGTCGTTTACCCTCAACACGAATCCCCAGAATGGCCTCGACGTCATGTAACATGATCGTCATCTCACCGAACGGAAGGTGGAAAGAGTTTGTATCCGGCTGCCATCGCTCAATGAAAGCCGTGATCAGCGTACTGTCAATCTTATCGTGCATGGTGGCAGGAACGTGATTCACCCCAGTGCCCTCCAGTCGCTCGAACATCTCGCTCTCCGCCGGCCAAGCCTCAGCCCATGTACGCAAAAAGCTACAAGTCTTTTCCCGGGTATGACATTTCAACAACCCCGTAACTGAAGGCCTCTCCTGGTCCTCCCAAATACGGGCAGCTATGTGTCCTAGAAAGCTAGGAATCACACTCCCGTCAACAGGCCCACCGGGCACCTCACTCCTAACAACCCAAGAATCATTACCGGCCCTCGACCGTTTCCTGCTTGCCCTAGATACAGTGGACGCAGATGATGTGCCAGATCTACTAACAAACCTACCACCCCTACCCTTACGCACCTCCACCATATGTGTCTCGTACATGTCATCAACCCTCTGACTGAATGGACCGTAATCATCATACGGTCCACTGCCATCGTCCACATCCTCATCCTCATCTGCGCCCTCCTCCTGCTCCTCCTCCTGGTCACCCTCCTCAGCATCATCATCGTCATCGTCATCCTCATCCCGACGGTGGATCCGTTCTCTACGAGCTGAGGCCGAAATACCACGGGATCTGACATGTCTATACCCCGACCTCTCCACTGAATAGCTTCTACTAAGAAGCTCTACATTCTTCCCCGCACCATGACGACCCAGTGAATTCTACACAAAATTTTAAAATATATAAACATACAAAAATTTATACGAAAAATAGCTACCACTACCCAAATCAAATAAACTAAAAACATACTAACAAATTAACATAATAAAGAAATTAACAAAACACTTAAATAAAAATAATAGAATAAAAAATACACTTAGAAAGGAAATAAAACCAACACAGAAGAATATATATAAACATAAATAATTCATTCCCAATTAAAATAAATTAACTAACCAAAAACAATATCAATAATAAAATTTAAAATAAATTAACTAACCAAAAACAATATCAAAGTCACAAAAAAAATATAAAAACAAATCAAAATAGAGAATAAAAATAAAAATGTACAAAAAAAACAAACAAATAATTGTAAACAAAATATAAACATAGAAAAAATACAACAAAATTGAAAAAATTTATAAAAATAAACAACAAAATATAAAAACAATTCAAAAAGATATTACACAAAAAAAAAAAAAAAAACAATATTTTAAAACAAATATAAAAAAAAAAAGAAAAAAAAGGGGGGGGGCGCCTTGGCTGGACGCCCAGCCAGCGGTGGTGGCGCCAGCTGCAGACGCCGCCACCAGTGGGCTGGCGCCAGCTGCAGACGCCGCCACCAGTGGGCTGGCGCCTGGGCTGGAAGCCACAGCCACGGCTGCGGCGCCTTGAATAAACGCCACAACCGTGGCTATGGCGTCCAGCCCGGGCGCCAGCCTACTGGTGGCGGCGTCTGCAGCTGGCGCCACCACCGCTGGCTGGGCATCCAGCCAGGGCGCCCCACCTCCGTCACGACGATTTTCCCTTTTTTTTTTTTTTTTTACAAATTGTACCTTGCCTCCTTGGGACCTCCTTCCTTCCGCCGCCGCCGCCAATTCCTTGCCTTGCCGCCTCGACATTGCCGTTGTTTGAATTTTTTTTTTTTTTTAGAGAGGTTGAAAGAAGATGAGCGATGAGAGTGTGAGTGATGAGAGTGTGAGTGTTTTTTTTAGGTCAAGGGCAATATTGTCAAACCAAGTGAATTTTGTGGGCTTTATGTAGTAATTTGTGGGCGATGTTTAACAAATCCCAAAGATATTTGTGTTTATATGGCTTTTGTTCATTGAAATTTGCTGAAAAAAATGAAGAAATGTATAATAATGTTTAATTTTGGAATGCTAATTCCTATTCAGAAAAAAAAAATAAAAAAAATAAAAAAATTGGAATGTTAATTCAAGTTGCATTGCTTTAATTTTGAATTTATGTGTAAAATTTGGTAGTAATGCTTGATATTCGTTTCAACTATTATAGGTTGATAATATTAATAAAAAGTGTGCATGGTCAGATTTTCTTTGAATTTCTTCATATACAATTGCTGCTGCTATATGCCAATATGCACTATTAAGTTATAAAATTTATATGATATAACCTTGGAAGTGACTTTTTTTTATTCTCATATATATATATATTCTCATATTTAGATTAAATTTATAAGATTAAAAAAAAATTAACATATTAATATAACCTTGGAAGTGACTTTTTTTTTTCCTTGACAATGTCAAAACCTTATTTTTTTTATATATAAATCCAAAGATTTTTTTTTCATCTTCCAAGACTTAATTTATTCATTTCATAATAAAAAGAAAATATCCTCACTTTTATTATTCGTTAATTAATTTACATGCATAATATATACCAACCGTAAAATTTACATTGGTAGAAGACAATATATGTAGTCTATTAACTATTAGTAAAACAAAACATGTTGATGTCATCAATTTCCGAAATTGTCTTATGTGTCAAATTCTCATCAAAAATATTTTCCCTCCCAAACTTAAATATGATGTTATCATTTTTTAGTTTTTTTTTTTTTTTTTTTTTTTTTTTTTTTTTTGCCATTTTATTTTACTTTCTAAAAATTAGGGCCAAGTAGGTATGAAACTAAAAATCCGAATCTTGAATTTTACATCAATATTATTCTATACTCTATACTACTTTGGATATTTCCAATACATCAATATTTAATGGATATAGATATTATTTCTTTAGCTTCCACTCTTAACATATATACTCAATAAATAATTCAACATTAAATATATATTGTCTAAATATCATTTTAATATATTTGTAATAACATATTGAATGTTATGATGTAGCATTTAAAAAAAAAGATTGTGTACGTGTTTTTTGTATATATCATAGCAAATATTTTTTACAAAAATAAAAAATAAAAATATATTAACAACAAAATATATATACTTATAAAAGAACAATGGATTAATTATAAAATACTTATCACCACTGTGCAACGTATGGGTACTAATTTAGTAAATAATATAAAATTAAAAGTGATTTATAAATAAATGGGTGTAAAAGGAAAAACATGAGAATAAGAAAGAAATTGAGAATCATGACAATGATCTTTTATTTGGCTGCTGAATTAAATTTCAATTTTTTTACTTGAGGTTTGGAAAACAACAACATTGTCTATCCATACAGTGTCCGCCATTAGGGCATCCAGGACATTCACTGTTGCAATCTTCTTGTATACAAGTATTTCTCATTGGTACGCAAATGTGTGGGCACGTTTGTTCTTCCTCACTCGTTATTGTATGGATCAATGGTGAAACTTCTCTACTAATGCCATCTGTTTAAATAAATATAACATAATATTATCGTCGATTGCAAAAGGTATTAATAATTATAATAATAAGGAATATAAGACGCCAGTTTTAAAAGAAATGATTAAGAATTATTAGATATCAAATAGTAGTAGCGCTGATTGACGAGTGATTTTGTTATAAAATTGAAACTTATACAGAGTACAAATTTATAATGTGAATTTAGGGTTTATATGCAGCCTGAAAATTTTGTATATCATAAACGTATTAATTAGAGGTGTCAATTCTGGTATTCGGATCGGATTCGGTGAAGTCAAGTCGAATTTAATTTCAAAATTGAGTCATGTTAAATTATTGTATCCATGCAAATAAAATCCGAATTGGATATTTTACGGGTCGATCTCAGATCGGGTCTTTCAATTCGAATTAAGTGTTGACACTTCTAGTATTAACAAGATGTATAGCCTCTAATCATTTTAATGACACAAAGATGGTCTAGTTATTTGTCCTACATTCTTCGATAAAGTTCAAATTGATAATAAAAATATTGTTATCGTTATGTAAGAAATCTAAATTTATGAAAATGAATTTTAAAGCATTACAAATATTGAAACCATAGTAAAATAAATATAAATGCAAAAAAAAGAAAAAAGATAGACAATTAAACTCACCATAGGGCATACACACCAAAAATATCACCAAAAACAAGGTAACAAAAGCTGACTTTCCGATCATCATATTGACAAATTAAAGTTCGTCAATTAAGCAAAATTAAATCACTATTTGATTAATTAAGAGGTTAGCTAAATTTTTAGGACGTTTTTTTTTTCAAATTGAATTGTTAAGAGTTTAGGTCCTTAGACCACTTTCAATGGTGGGCAAAAATAATGTTTGCCCAATATCTCTCTACCTACTTTCTCTCTCAACAAATCAGTTTTGCCCATGGGCAATTTTTTTTCACAATTTCTCTCCCAATGGTGAGCAAAAATAATGCTTGCCCACCACTTTCTCTCTTACTTATTCAATACCCCACCATTATTTTTTCTCTCCTACACAACACTTCTTTATTTATTAATTTCATTTATATTTTAACAATATTACTCCAATTAAATAAAAACTAGTCTAAATATGTGTAAATTATTTTTTTTTATTTGTGTTGTTTATATCGGTAAAAATATATCGTTAAATTATGTACGTTAGATGAAATAATGGTAACAAAACGCTAAAAATTTCGTAAATATTTTTATTTATTTTAAAAAGCGGTACAGTACTAGAAACCAATTACATTTAAAACGTCATGCGTAATTAAACTTAGGGAATAAAATAAACAAAACAATTAAAAAAAAACACGACTGCGCACGGAAAAGTAGGTAGGCCATAGTAGTTGGCCTTATTTAAGTCGTGCTAATTTTTCCCTAATTAGTTGGCCCGTATTGTAACCAAATATGTTCGACTGTAGAAATGAGTTTTTCTATCACGGAGGGAAGCTTTTCGTTGTAGAAATGAGTTAAAGTCAAAGTTGGTAGGTCGGCCTACGTTGAATTCAAACGGTGGCGTTGTAGACGTTGATGCTGTTGTTAAATTTTGTTGATCTTCTTTGTAGAAGCTTCTTAGAACTTCGGCTCGAGTGTAGTTGTGTCGCTCATCTTCAACAATCATGTTGTGCATAATGATACATGCTTTCATTATGTCCCGCCGTATGTCCTCATCGTACGCCAGTGATGGTTTTCGTATTATTGCAAATCGAGCTTGCAAAACGCTGAAAGCTCTTTCAACGTCCTTCCGAGCAGCAGCCTGGTGGTCAGCGAACATTTTATCCTTCTGAAGTTGAGGGTATGTGATACCCTGAATAAAAGTTGCCCACTTTGGATAAATGTCGTCGGCTAAGTAATAAGCCATGTTGTATTCATGGCCGTTAACTGTAAAATTTATCGGAGGAGCTCGACCATGCAGAACCTAATCGAACACTGGTGAACGGTAACACATTAAGATCATTACATGATCCGGGAATAGCAAAGAAGGAATGCCAGATCCATAAATCCTGATCCGCGACGGCTTTGCAGTATTAGCGTTGCTTTCTTATTTCTACCGGTGTACTGCGCTTTCCAAGCCGTTGGACAGTTCTTCCATTCCTAATGCATGAAATCAATGCTGCCTATCATGCCTGGAAAACCACGCAGTTCATTTTGATGCAGTATTCGAGCCAAATCATCAGTTGTAGGGTTTCGCAGGTACTCGGTTCCGAACTGATCAATGACCCCGGCACAAAAACGTTGAAGGGAAAGTCGAGCGGTTGACTGACTTATTCGAACGTATTCATCCACGACTTCTGCAGCCAAGCCGTAGGCTAACATTCTTTTCAATTTTTATCCTCTCTTCCTTCAGATTGGCCTCCCTTTCGCGAATTGTAGCGAATTCCTTCATTCGTTTGCCAAGGTCAGACGAACCACTTTCTGTAGCCACTGCTTTCCCTTTATGCTTGGCCTTTGCTTTCTTAACACCATCGGGTCGTCGTATTCCTCCAGATGAAAAACCATCTGTAGGGGTTTTATCCCCTACATCATCTCTCGACCTCTTCCCACTTCCAGGACTACCTTGCTCCTCAACATCACAAGCAGCTTTTCTTTCCTCCTTTGACAAGGACCATCTCAGCTTTGGCCTCCACTTTGGATCTTTATTAAGCATTTCAACTGCGTGAGGAAAACTGAAATTGTGACCTTTGGCCAGATGAAAAAGCTTCGATGCACTTTTTACACGGTTAGCTTCGTTGTAACCACTCCCTTCCTCCGGAAGTCTACCCGCTTCATCATAGCAAGATATCCACTATAGTGTGTCTGCTGCCAACCTTCTCCAGTGCGACGACAGACTCTTTATAGGTCTTGGCGGAAGTATATGTGGCTTCTCCGCATGAGCCATTTGATATGCTGCGTGTACATTGCGCCATAGGTCAGTTGCTTTCCGGTTCGTACCTTTAATAGCATCTTCGCTAATCTGCAAGTACAACCTAATCAGAGCTTCATCTTCCGCAATAGGCCAAACACGAGTCGCTCGTGCAGCAACCTGGTTGGATTGCATTCTGGGAACTAGTGGAGGATACTGCGGCGTCTCTGGTACGTTTTCCTCTTGACTGTCATCGAATTGGGTGTTGCTACCATGATCAGTTTCAGGTGTACGTTCTTCATTATCATAGTGTTCTAGGGGAAATTCAGTGGGTGTCTGATGCTGTGGAGGTGGTTGCAAAGACGTATTTCCCATTCTTTGCAAGAACAATTGAAACTCGGGATTAGTTAGGAAATCATCACTAAAGCTAGAAAATTGTTGACGGACATTTGGGTTGTTCGGATCCATTAAAAAATTCTGCATCACAAAACAAAAAATAAATACGTTAAAAAAGATTGTAATAAGACATGACATTCACAACATTATTTTAGCCATTTTTTTAACAGTTGTACATAACCTAACTTTCACAACACTTAATTTACTAATATACAACTTGCAACAATTTTAACTACATTTAAACAACAAATTAAAATGACAACAAATCAAAAAATATAATCTAATACCACTTAATTAATTAAATATACAACATTCACGTTCAACAATATATAAACAAAACATATAATACATAATATAATGTAACGAAATTAACTACCTATACAAAAATAACATATAAATATAAATTAGCATAACAAATTACTTCACATATACAAAACAACAACCCAATTTCCAAAAAATTAGCAAATAAATTCAGATTAAATTAACTTCAAATTTATTAATGTATGAACAAAATATCAACAACTTTCTAAATACAATTATACATATAATTGCAATTACATTACATGAACTACATTTTTTAATTTGCAAAAAAATCACATATATACTAATTTTAATAAATAACTGAATTTTGCAACAAAAAAAAAATTAATATTTACCTGAAAATCGGTGAAATACAACAAAAATCTTCTTCTAATTTTGGAATATTAAGAAAAATAAAGAATATGGAGGATTTATGGTATTTCTGAAATTATATCAAAATATACCAAAATGCATGTCTATTTACAGAGAAATAAATTTTTATGACCGTTGGTAATTTTTTTTTTAATAAATATTTATTTCAGAAATTACATTACAAACATTATAACCGTTGGCAACAGCTAGATTTTTCCTATTGGCCAGCTTCCTGCACATGCCACGTGGCGCTCCACCATTCGTCCATTGACTGACGCGCGTCAATCCACTTTTTTAATTTTTTTTTTCAGAAATCCCAAGTCAAAACGGTGCGTTTTGATCTCGCGTCTTCTTCCTTGCGCCATTAAATGGTGCGTTTAATGTAGGCCTCCACCGAAATTTTTTTAATTCACTCAGCATTATGTGGGGCCCACCAGCGCACTGTTCACTTGGATTTATGCCCAACTCTTGGGCATTTTAACACATGCCCATGGGCAACTCATCCTTAGCCCACCATTGTAACCCAATATTTCACATGCTTGCCCACCAAAATGCCCATGAGCTAAATTAATGCCCACCATTGTAGGTGCTCTTATATAATATACAATTGACTGAATTGAGCAATGCATATCTGTCATGATTTTGTTTTCTATTTATTATAGTGATCTCTTAACAAAAATACAGAGTATTAATATTTCAGGACCAAATCAGATTTTATATCAAAATATTAAATATTTCCATTTTTTTGTACAAGAATATTTCCTTTTTTTAGAGGATATTTTTTAAATGGATTTTTTTTTAGAATGGAATAGGAAGGGGTGATTGCATTAAATAGTAGTATTCATCTGACACTTAATAATATCCCATAAGAGATCTAAATTCTTTAAACACCCTTAAACTAATAATTCCTGACTGCGAAAAAAATATTGTTGGTTAAGCATTGTATTGAGTATTTTTTATTTTTTTTACTACTTTAGCTGTTTTTTCTTTGCAATATTTACCATAAAAAAAAAAGCTACGCATTAGATGTAACAAATGTTATTTTTCCTTTTTAAATTTCATTTGTTTCTATCTCTTCATCAAATGCATCCCTACTTTTCTCTCTCCACTTAACACTAACATAGAAATTTTGACTAAGAATCCATACAAGCTCATTTGTTACATATAAAAAGAAACGAAAGTAGTATTTTATTTTATTTTTTGTACAGAACTGTATGAATAATTTAAGCACACTTGATTAAAACAGATTCTAAGTTTTCCTTAAAATTCAATGCTCTTACTAATTACTAATGTGACAAAAAATAATGCTCATAATTTTAACTTTTTTTTATATTTGTTTTACTAATACACATATAATTTAACTTGTGCATAGCAAGTATACTGATCAAAATGTAACAATTATTAAAAATGGAATGGGATACATACTTGGTCGTACCCAAGTAGATACAGATAAATGTGTTATTGTATAGCAAAAATGAGCTTATTGGACCCTAATTTTTTATTTATTTATTTTCTTCTTTTTTTTAGAGACATGGAAAAAGATCGTGTATGGACTAAAACCCTCATGTTTTTTTGGTTATTATTGGACCTTCATTGGGAGTTGTCCAAATGATCAAGTATTGGCAATTAGGTGTACAAACTACAAGGTAACGTCAGATGAATCATTAGATGTTCTTGCAAAAAATTGCAAAGCCATCAAATGGTAATGAAATCATCACAAAAATTATTTTATTGGATAATTTAACAAGTGATAAATAAAACAAAATTTCACTCTACACGTCCTTCCTATTTAAATTTCAAGGTGAAATTCCTTCATCTGTCATTACTCAACTGACCAAAACTTTAACCCGTTGGGTTAGCTAGCAAGTAACTGTTATTTCCTATTTTAACTTGCGGCCTGTGATTAGATCTACATCAGAACACCTTCCGCGTTGTTAAGCGCTTTCTTAATAAGCTTGAACTTTTTAGCAGCAGTTTTATTTGTGCTTACAACATACTCTCTGATAAATAACTCCAGGCCATTTCGGAGTTCTTCCAGCTCAGGGGTAATGGTGACTCGTGTAAAAACATTCCACACCACATTATCTGGGTACTCGAAAAGTGCCTCAAAGAGCATCCGGAAATGCATTATCCTCTTTGCAGTAAGCTGGGTGGCATCAATCAGATCAACGACTTTCAAAACAGCAAGGGAAAGAGTGAAGCTTGCAAACATTTCAGCCTCAAACTTAGCTAGGTGCATTGATCTCATCAAAGGCATGGACTCCAGCTCTTTCAAATGGTCCCAAAGGCAATACTGCATAATATTAGTTTTTTTTTTTTAAAAAAAAAAGTTAAAGCCATACTTATGTTCTTTGTTTCACACATCTTTACATTTATTGTTAAAAAGTCTGGACCATTAAAAGAGAGGCATATATAAAAATAAAATGAAAATAAAATAAAATAGAAGATTTCCAAATAGGGAAGTGAATCAAGTGAGGCACTAAAAAAAGCCGGATTATGGGAGGCAATGCACTTAAAAATAAATAAATGAATAAGTAAACAAATAAGGCCAATTATGGGAAGTGATGCATAAATAAAAACGGAGGGCGTATCGATTTAGACACCCAAGTCTTATACCAGTAGCTTTCACCATAAACTTGCACCACTGATTTGATAACAAATTACTTCTTTTATTCACGTTCAAGCTTTATGGTGTCCTCTATGAACAGTTCGCCAAACAAACAATTTAAAGCAACATAATTTCTTTCATAAATAAAGGTAATCTTAGGACAGTCAAATGGGTCGTGTCGTATCATGTTCCTGTCGATATTAAACGAACTTATCTTTATTAATCCATGCAAGAACTTAGACAATTTAGTACATTATAAACTAATTAATATTCATATTAGAAATTAAACTCTTCCTTCACCCTGACCTCCAATTGTTTATTTCACCCTGACTTGCCAATAACATGTTGCCGTAAATCTAACTGTGACGAATCTTTGGACCTTTTGGCTTTAGCAAGGCAGAAATGGGAGGAAAATTTTTTTGAAGGTGGCTGGACAGATGGCCAGATGGGGATCAAAACCTATAGTCATATGTAAGATACACCAGGCTCTTATATTAAAGTTGGTGCTGCCCTATTCACCCTCTTTACTTGCTGTTAACCCATCTGCCCAAGCTATAGTCGGCATATAAGACATTTATTATTCCAAGAAAATTTTTTGAAGTCAAACCTGAAGAGTGAACTTGTGGTTTTTGTCATGACTGCAAAGCTTAGAAGCAAGAGCTGTATAATACTTATTGAAGGACTTTTCCTGCAAACAGCACTCAACAAGAACTCGCATGATCTCTCTGTCCTGCAACATGTAAAAGAACAGAAGTTAGATACTGATGCCCAGCACAAGAATAACAATTGACAAATCAACTTCAAATGTATCTGTGGTGCAAGCAGAAATCAAAGCACAGACCTGCTTTCCGTGCAGATTCAAGCTCAATAGTTGCTCAAATGCATCAATATAATCTTCTCCACTCATTATAACAAGAAAAATTGCCCTTCTGGTATCTGTATTCATTCTTTGTTTGGCAGCAAGGTTCAGCATTTTTTGGGCCTCATTAACCTCTTTGTCCATCTTACCAGAAACTTTACGAACATTTTCTGTTTGAGAAGATAGATCCCCAGAAAACCACCATTGCCCTTTCTTGTTGGGATCAAGCAGCTTACTCCATTTGACTCCCCTGAGTGTAATGTCATCGACTCTAAGCTGCAAAATAAGAGAGAATTTTTTAACAAACAAATAAGACTGTAGTTCATGGTGATGATAACAAATTTTGTCCTAAATATTTTGCCACATGTCCCACACAAAAATCAGTTGCAGAAAGTTAACATTATAGATGAGCATTTGAAGCACTGAAGAATAATGGAGTCTAAATACTTTCAAATTTTTCTTCTTCTTTCTCTATCTCTTAATTTTAATTTAGAAAAATGTTAACATACAAGAGAGTATGCAAAGTAAGGTAGTAGAACTAAAATCAACAGCAAACAAGAATGAAAAAAAGAAACAACAAGCTACACTAAGAAAACTAGGCAGATTTTGTCAATTTGGATTTTGCAGGTGGGAGCAAGAAATACTCTCATCATCATGTCATCACCATCACCATTTTCAGAACACTATCACAATCAAATTTAATCACAAAAGCAATATGGGTAGAGAGCTAGACAAAAATAAAGCACAAACCCTTAATTCTTTTCTTCCAAGCTACCCCCTCAACACCCCCCCCCCCCCCAAGCTAAACTTACAGAAATACACATGGGGATGGAGGGGAGAAAACCAACAATGGACACGCTTAACAGGAGGATAAGGGTAAGATAGGCAGGGTCATAAGCTATTCTATCATCTCATATATTTCCTCTTCGAGTCTCTTATTTACCATCTTTCCCTCACAGATGTGAGACCAACCATCAAGAACTGGCTTACCCAAAAGGCCCCACTACCCAAAAGTTTAGGGTGAAGATTGGTAAGGTCATAAGCATACTCACAACCCCCGGTCTCCTATAGTCATGAGATCGAAGGACCAACATTGGGACCCTCCCAATATGAATTGCAAGGGGTGCTGCCATCACAACCCATATGGCTTGATGTTACAATGACGAACACATGCATATCATAGATTTGATTATTAAATTATTATAGCTATCAACTATTTCTTGATAACTAAACGCTTAAGCTTAGGCTCTAGCTATCAAGTCAAGTTGGAGTTGAAGAGCAAAATCAAATGAATTAGCACCATGCATAGAAGAGGGAACGGAGGGCATGAGAAGGAGGAATATTTGTACCTCCCTCCACAAAGGGGATCATCTAGTATAAGTTGAAGAGAGGCATAGTGGGAATCCCATGGGTTGGGTCGAGTGAAGATCGGCTTCTTAATATGAGCGGGAATAGCTGCGGAAGGGATCCTCGAATGCAAATCCGAGTTTGTCAATACCTATTTCAACCACCCTATTTCCCGGTCCAACTAGGACCTGCCCCTAGATGGGGTGGTGATGGAACCGCCCCTTGCTATCCATACTGGGAGGGTCCAGATGTTGCACCTTAATGAGATCCAAAAGACCACCCCAATTATGTGAACTCTTGGCTACATTCATTGCCGAAAAACTAGTATAAATTAATTAAGCATTAATATCAGTATTCACTTTTACCTAAAGATCACCATAATTGGAGCACACCTTATTAATCTAATATTGAATATCAAGCAAACGATGAGAACCAGGCATATATTCTACCACTTTCTTTTGGAAAAAGTGCTTAAGCAGAAAGAATTCTACTTTCCACTCTCATACAATATCAAGGCTTTCCAGACTACAATATCAACTACAAAATTGCTTTATAAACTCTCTCAAATCACATATCCTCCAATTTAATTGATTGTCTAATTTTAAAAGCGTACTGAATTAACACAAGCTTTTTTTTTTTCTCCCTTTTGTAGCAAACAACTTTGAAATGTGTAAAATGATTAGTTTGGTCAAGTAAACATGCCTTTGACTTTTCTCACACACTAGTTAGCTCTTAGAAAAATAAGGTTAGATTACTATATGCTTACTAGAAGAAATAGCTTAGAGTTGCGGGAGGTCCAAATAAAAACAAAAAATCCATGAAAATAAATCTTACATCTATATTATATAAGCAAGGGGAAGAGGAAGGAATGAAAAGTTAGTGTTCGACTTTTGAACTACCCATAATACCCCCAAAGTCAAATAATATTCCTAATATTATTGATAATATTGCTTATATCTCTTCGGAGAAAAAAAAAAATTACATTGCTTTCAAATCTTCGCACATAAAAAAATTTATATACACCCTTAATATTTGTTGCTCATTTTAAAATCTTAAAATGAGAAGAAAAAAAATATTAAATGGGCAAAAAACCACCCTTGGATGCACCTATCTCTATGTGCACCCGGGTGTATATAAAAGGTATTGGCACACAAACATTGCGTGCATATAGTACTAGTATTTCATATGCCAACAAATAACCTAAAGTATAACAAGTGAAAAAAAAAAAAAAATATATATATATATATATATATATATATATATATATATATTTAAAAAGAATACTTAAGTAGATTGAAACTGTAAAATTGAACAGGGAAAAAACCTTTTGCAGCCATTTCTTGATACGCGTGTGTGGTGAAGAATCCTCCTTAGCACGCTTCTTGTTATTCTTGATGTCACATATAGTCTCAAGCATAAATTCCATCTGCAACATATAACTTGTTTTATCACATGATGCCAAGAACAATTGCAAGGGGAAGAAAAAAAAAAGATCCATGAATAATCTCAGAGTGTCACAAAATCATACCCTCTTGCTATATGTAACCATCTCCGCATCTCCTGATGTAGCCTTTAACTCATTCACTCTACTTTGAACACTTGAGATGAAGTCTTTCATGGAAGTAGGATCATCCCCCCGCAACTTCATTCCACAACCTGTTAAGTAAACCGAAGTATGATTAGTTTTGTCAGCTTTATGATATGTTCTAAAGAGTACAACATTTTGAACAGAAATTGGCAGCAGGTTACATGTATTATAAAGAATGACAAGTGAGAAACTGCAAGAGAGGTATGAATCAGAAGTCAAAAAAGATTTTATAAATATACTAAGCAACTACTTCCTCATTTTTATTTGAATGAAACACTTCATTTTTACTATTACTAATGCATAATCAACCATTAATAATTTAATCATCAATAAATAAAGATTAAAAAATATTACTATAAAAAATTAATATTAAGAATTAAGACAAATCTAACAAGACCCCCACATGACTTTTTTTTTTTTTTTTTTTTTTTACTTAACTGAAAAATCACCAAACAAAAAGAGATTGTATAATGTGAGAATAGTGCAAATTTCTAAGTGCTTCATCTTAAAAAAATGAAGTATATATCAATCTCCACTAACTGGAGTAACTGCAGGAGGAATTAAAAGACTAGAAGAGATAGAGAGTAGCTTCAATTTATACATCACTTAGAATAATCATGAAAGGAAAAGAAAGGAAAGGAAAGGAAGTCCTTACATTGTAAAATCGTTAATATAATAGAAACATCAATCTCTGCCAGCTGTTTGCTTAGCTTGATCAGAAAATCATATATCAAGTCACTGCAAGGTGGATGCAAAAGTCAGAGTTAGTTGACAAAAGCAATATTAGTATCATAATAGCATAGTATAGCACCTTCAAGTAGATAACATATGAGCAATTCAAGTAATGACCAATGTCCTCAACAGTTAGGAGGACATTCAAAGTGATCTACTCTTCATTGACTAGCCAAACTATATACCAAAAATTAGAGAAGCTAATGCTAAAAGTTTGTAGGAAAGACACAAGTGCAAAGCTAAAGCCTAACTGAAGCAGAGCATACAAAGCAGAATTTCTTATATAAGATAGAAAGGAAAATCATTAAATAGAACAAAAGCAAAGTTAAATTAAGATGGGATCATGAGCGTTTGTCAGGACCTAATGAGACAACATCAAATGCAAGCTACACTATATAATTTTCATACGTAAGCCACACAAATTGTAAGCCATAAGACTATCTACTTGCAAAAATTTCATCATTTCTTCCCAACACAGCACCAAGTTAACTGGCATGGCAATATACACTCCCTTCGCTTCCCAATCACAACAGATAGTGGATCTGCAAGTGCTCCATGAATGGTAAAAAATAGCCGTATTATTAAATTTTTTCAGTTAGGCTGTATTGTACAAGGTTTGACCGATAGGAAATGTCCAGTTTAGTACAGGGTGTTTCAAAAACCCGAGACATCCAAAACAAATGTTCCTACCCTGAATCACCCCGAATTAAATGTCACATCCTGTATTTCACTAAAGTTACTTGCTATTCAAAGACATAGTAAAATATCCCCATGTATCCCCAGCTTTGGTTCTAAGCCTATAATAGTCAACTTGTACATTTAATACAATATCCTAAAAAGACTTTTAAATCAAATTTGTGCGACAACCGCAACATGGTCAGCGTATCCGTTCCCAAGACACCATAACCATTCTTGCAATTGTGGACAAAATTGTAAAATAAAACAAATTTATTGAATTCAAAGCATAAGAACAGAATGACAGTAAGAACAAATACAATTCAGTCAATGAAAACGCTTTTATAATGCTACCCTCAATCAAATGTTTTTCACCTGTCACCCATAGTATCCAACTATCCATGCAACACAGATTGACAACATCAATGAGCTTATAATTTTGACAAGTAAGCAACTACACAACTAATACACAGCTACAGAAGTTTCGCAATATAAACACAAAATCAATTGATTCTTTAAACCAACACACAAACTTGATGAACACATAAATATTAGTAGCATAAATCTTACCTAGAGCACACTCCAAATATGCACAAGTAGGAAAGGAGAAGTGACAAATTTCTGAGGGAGAGATTATCTTCCTTGGAGTATTCATCCTAATATGAAGACAATAATTAGACTTAATATAGTCAGCATGCAGCAGAAAATTAGCAGTCCAAACAAGAGATAGGCACATTGACCAATACTATATCCATGATACTATTACCAAATTTGTAAACAACTACTCCCTCCATTCCTTTAAATTCTTTACGTTTTGACGTTTATGGCAAAACTTTTAAAAACTTTGGCTATAAAACCTCAATATAAACATCAAAACGATATCATGTGGGATCTTGATAGATTTGACTTGAAACATGTTTCATAATATTAAATAATTAGAATTTTTACTCATACCTTACTGAATATATATAGTCGGTGTCAAAGATGTGCACCAGAAGTAAAATTCAAAGCATAAAAAATAAAAAGAAACGGTGGGAGTAAAAACTAGATACTTAATAAAACAAATCCTGATTTTTCAAAGCAAAGATACAAAGCTAGTACCTCAAATGATTTTGCAAGGGATGCCATGAACCTCGCACCAAAGTCTATTCCAATCATGGATGACATACCAGCTAGAAATGCTGCAAATACTGCTGCATACCTTCATGTCGTATATGTAATTTTTGGATCAGATGTACGCATGAGCGATTAACTCAAACATAAATAACAAAGTACAATGATTAGGACAAGAAGTAGACAGCACTGAGTCAAATCTTGGCATACATGCAACTATATTTAAGAGTCTAAAGAAGCAAAGTTGACTTAACAACATATAAACAATTTTATCCCCCTTTATGTTCATGTGATAAAATAACACACTTCAAATGCTAAATAACAAGAGCAACTAAGCAATATACTTTAAACAATACTGTAGCTTGGAGGTACAATGCAAGGAAGAAACACCATAAAACCCAAGCCTCTATTAGCCTATAGTATTAAATAGAATATAAAAAAAAAAAATCCAAATATTAATTTATTGGCAAATTCCAAGCTCAAAGACATAGATAACATACCACCTAGAAACTAAATTTCAAACTGAAATAGCTAAATAAATAATAAAAAAAAAAAATAAAGCACATTTCATCTGACAGAGCACAATAAGAGTGACAACAAAAACAGCCCAAGGAAACATTAAAGCTGCTATGTGAACACCAAGCAACAGAACTAAAATCTCTGGAAGAATACAAGATTACAAGGTATGAGTCGTATGACCATCATATGCAAAGAACAGAGAAAGATTGGACAGGTGAAGGGATAGAAATCCAGCATCACTTATTCACCCACCTGGCCACCCACCAATTGAAGAAAAAAGGACCTAGAGATTTGAGTTCCGACCTTCTGAGGGCAAGAAAAGAAAGCAGAAGGCTGGATTTGTCTTGTGAGTGGCAACCTAATAGCTTGTGTTTCCTAAATCCCTTTCTATGTCTTGTTATATGACCTCTCCCAGACATAGTAATTTTGCAAGATTACCATTTAGTTCAGTTCTATGAAATGAACCTAATAGTGGACACAAAGGCTCCTTAGGCAAAGCCATACAGCCAACAAGAAATGATGGTGTGTTCTCATCATTAGATAATTTTTGTGATGATGAAAATGATGACTGTGTTTGATAATAAATATTCACATGGAGGCATGGAGCATTGGTACTTGGTAGAGCACTGAAGCTAAGCAACTTAGCATCATAATAATGAAGGATTAGGGATGGCCAAATGCCCAATGCCCCCGAATCGACACCTAAACCTAGTGTGATAAATGAATGACAATGGTGCTAAATGCTCCCAAACATCTCATAGTGTCGTAGAGTCATGACAATCGGATGAGAAAGATGATGATGATGAGATGGAAGAGGACATTGGTGGAGACTAATTATCTATGAGATAAATACGATTATGACAATTGCCTACACCCCCTGTAATCTTTTTAAATCTCAATAAGGAAAACATTCTCACAGAATAACAGCATACAAGCGACATTAATGTTAGAAGCAAAATTTTTATTAAAAAAAAATGTCAGAATCTTACTGTTCATTTCCTCGTGGACCTCCAGCACATGAAGCCAAAACCTCTTCACTGACAATTTGTGATGCAATAGCACGACTGACAGACTATAGAGTAATAAAAACAATTTAAAAAAAATAAAAAAAACAGTAAGTTGAATAAAAGGCAAATGATTACCAGACCTTGTTTTTTTAAGAAATAACCAGACAGATATTTTGGTATAGAAAAGTGTTCGACACTAAAAGAATCATAAAGAATATAACATCTAATTATCTAAGGCACAAATAGCATGGGGAGGATGGACATAAAAATAAAATAAGATAAAATAAGGTGTAAATTATCAAGTATGTTCCCACAGAAGTTCTAATGTTAAGCAGCCGGCGAAATGAAGTATGTATAGCACTAGGTCAGGCCATTTGACACACATAAGCCTACAGAACGTTAGATATTATAGAGTAATTGTAATAAATAAATAAATAAATAAATAAAACAAGATTTCAGCTGCAATTTGTTTAAACAAAACTGGTATACCTGAAATATTGAGAAAATTTCTCCAGTAATAGACTCCACATTAGACTCAGACATCCTGTTCAGCAGACCTAAAGCAAAGGGGAGAAAATTCAGCGTTATAAAGAATGAAAAGAAAAGAATCACTGGAGAAGATATTAATTATTACCTCGTACTCGTCTTCGAATTTGTACATACTCTTGCAAATCATCACCAGATCTAGATCTCAAATGAGGTGCAACATACTTGCCAATGCTCTGTAACCCAGAATCCGTTTCTAACACTGTAGTTTCCTCACCCTCTTCATCTGAATCAAGTGACATGTTTTCAGCTTGTTTCATATCAGTAGCATCATCACCATCATCAGAAACACTTTCTTGCTCCACGTTTCTTCTCTTACTCTTTCTCCTCTTGCTTTTTTTCTTTTCAATCCTTCCAACAATTTCTGTTTCGCTGCTGTCATTTGCCTCATCCCCATCACCAGATGCAAATAAATTGCTCTCTCGCCCCGATTTTTTCATTTTCTTTCTCTTTTTCTTTCTGTTCCTATCATCGTCTTCTAGTAAACTTTCTGTTTCACTGTCATCTTGTCTATCGTATACTTTCTCAGATGAATCATGAAAAGACGGGATACCTTCAAATAAGAAATCAAGTCCATCACCACCATCATCCAATTTCCCATTTTTCAATTTCAGTCTTTTAGCCAACTTCCGTTCCATTTCCAAGTCCTCCTCCATCGACGGCCCTGACTTCATATCCATTTCCAAAAACTCCTCAAACCCTGTCCTCTTTTTACCGACCTTCTTTTGATACTTGGACATCCTACTCTTAACAGCAGGCTTAGCATTACCGCCGTCACTATCACTCTCCATCATAGATAACTTCCTATTCTTTCCTTCTGTACTCACATTCTCAACCGAAGAAATCATACCCTCTTTCACACTACCATTCCTCAAATTGTTTGAGTTCCTTTTAGACTTGCTAAATATCTACAGTATCCAATAAATACATAGTCGAATAAGAGAAAACTGCAGAAAACACAAATAAAAGATCCCAAAAACCCTAGAAATACTAAACCCTGAACCCAAAAAAAAAAAAAAAAAATTAAAAAAAAAAAAAGTATGAACCTGATGTTGAAGCAGAGATTGATGCTTATGTTGTTTCTTTTCTTGTCTAGCAGCTTTCCGCTTCTCCTTGCGCGACGCCATCCTTTCTGAAGGAATTTGGAACAACGAAAGAAAAAAAAAAATTATACACTTCAAAATTAAAAATTGAAATAATTAGCAAACAAATTCAGAAATTGAAACGATAAATTAAATATCCATTCAATTTAATTAAATTATAAACAATCAATTGTACTCGAAAAAGGTAAGGAAATTACCCATAGTTTAAGTGGTTTAGACAAAAGCTTCCAATGTTGTGTGTCTGTGCAGTAGAGAAAAAGGTAGGAAATGTCGATTAATGGAGGAGGAGAGATAAAGAGGTTAGAACAAAAAAATATGGTGAAAGGTCTAGCAAATCCATTTATGACTGATAATAATAATTAATGAAAAGATTGAAACAAAATTGAAATAACTATTCCTATGCATTAATCGATTACAATACATTAAACCAATATTTTATTTCAATTAATCAATTACATTAAACCTTTATATGCAAAAATAGCTAACTTCAACCATGATTCATTAATTCGTCATCAGTATATAATCCATTTCATGAATCGAATAATATTACCTCTCACACACAAAATAACATAATCATTCAACCATATAACAAATTCAATAATTAGATTTTCAAAGAACATGATTCTAACAAAATTTACATTTAAATTGTAAATTATGATGAAATTTTTAGATGAATTTTCGCAATTAGAGGAGAGAGACTGACCTGTGCTTGTAAATTCAAGTAACGCGAAAATTTATTCAATCTACTCAACCCAAACACAGTCCTCACCGCCTTGGCCAGGCCGCCTGCGAACTGGTTTTTTTTGTTGTTCCTTCTCGTCATTGTGACGGCCCTCTTAACAGGGCTGAGCAAAACTATCTGAAAATCCGAAAATTTGATGATCCGATCCGCATTCGATCCGAAAATTATGGATATCCGATTCGAATTTGATTTTGGATCGGATTTTGATCCGAATTTTTCGGATATCGGATATTCAAATTTTGGATTTCGAATATTCGATCCGATATCCGAAAAAAACACTTATTGTTACGTATTACTTTTTGGGTGAAATATTGCTTGGTTATTTAAAATACTTCCCAAAGGCCCAAGGCCCAAATCTACTAACCCTATTTAATAATCATCCCCTCAAATCCCCCCCCCCTCGCCTCTAACTTTCTCTCTCCCTTTCTCATCTATCTCTCTAACTTTCTCTCTCCTCTTCATCTTCTCAAATATCAATCTAATATCTTAGATCTCATAAGTAGCTAGTTGCAACGGTGGTGCGGCTTCCTCCATAGAACACCAATCCTTCTCACTTAATCGGGAACTCCAGAGAAAAAGATGAACACTTTATTCAGCAGGCAACTGGAGAAACTCATGCTACTCAGCAGTGTTCTTGATTTCGAAGTATAAATAATTAAGGTTCATTGTTGGATGGTGCTACCTAGCTAGCTAAGTTGAAGTTTATGGTCTTGAATAAGAACTTTGACGGCGGATTGAAGGAAATGGCCTGGTGATCGATGAGGGGGTATGGTTAGGTTTTGGGGGGAATAATTGAAGTATTTATTTTGAGGGTTTATAGACTGTGCTTTAATTAGTTTGTAATTGTGCCTTCTTTTTTTTTTTTTTTTTTTTTTTTTGGTATGTTGAATTTCATTCCCCTCTTAGTTATGGTTAATTTTTGTGGTTTTATCATGTGCATTTCCGGGTTCTTTAATTTTAGATTCTATACCAAATTAATATTTGATTTTTGTCATTTGGGTTTTTTTGTTTCTTCTTTCAATTAGTAGTGTTGATCTTTGATTTTATATTCTGAAATTTGTGGTACGCTTATATTCTAAAATTTATGGGTTATTAGATTCAAAATATATGAATATTTGTAGCTTGTAATTATGAGTTTGATTTTGCAGTCATGGATGTCAATACAGGAAAAAGATGAAATGTATATCTTTTTTTTTTTTGGTTTAATTTGTTTTTTTTTCTTCTAGAATTCAAGATAGGCCTAAAATTAACTCTTCAGAATAATTGTTTGGTAGACGATCACTATATTTGAATGATTGTTATTTATCTACGAACTGTTAATTCCCAAGATTTATAGAAATAATCTCTAGAATAGTTAGTTGAACTGGTATAGGTTGGCTTTGTGGGTGTTTGAGCTCCAATTTACTGAGTTCAATTGCAGGTGTCATAGCCTCCAAATATTGGGTGGCTTTCAACTTAGTGTTTTGCCCTTTTCGTAGCCATTATGCTGTCGAAATGGGCCAAGGATTCGCCCTCGCGTTTTTTTAGGACTTTAGAAAATATACTTAATCGTGTAATTTTTCAAAATTCCATCAAAGTAGTATGGACTCTCCCCCGTTTGTTGATGCCAAGGAGGTTCTAGGAGGACCGGTTCTGGACGAGGCGGTTGGTCCTCAAAAGAGGGTGATACGTCCTCGCGAGGAAGGCCGGGAGCGGCACGTCGGTGCTGAGCGACGTCGTCATGAAGAGGTGGTTTGGGAGGCTCCTCCCAACTGGGATCCGCAGGTCCTTAAATGGGACCCGGACCACCATGTTTTGGTTCGAGCTTGGCGCGGTATAGTGAGTTTCTTTACTTTTTTGTTTTTTAATTTTCTCTTTTCTGTTTCTTTTTTCAAAACCTGTCATAGCCGAATTTCATTTTTTAGAGTGAGCCTAACATGCGTCTATATGGCTCGGGTGACCTGAGAGGTCGGTTTGAGAGCTTTCCTAAGGTAGCGAAGGAGGTGATAGAGATTTTGGGGATCAGTCCCTAGGTGGCAGCTCTTCGGGATCTATCGATTAGCCTTTGTCACTAGCTTTCCTTCACGGGTTGCTAGAGTTTTGGTGGGATTCCACCAACACTTTTCACTTCTCGTGGGAAGAGATGACGGTTACCCTTTACGACTTCTCCATGATCATGGGTTTTCCTTTCGGAACGAGCCTGTGGTCTTGGAGAACGTAAAGGGGTCAGATGAGATATTACGTAACCTTGTGGGGGATCGTCTTGCGACGACCCTCCATGTGTATGCGCAGTCTTGTTCGTACTCGGTTCTTGCCAATGAGTTATCGGTTGATGAGGTTGACTGGCAGTGTACTCCTGAGCAGCTGGCTCGGATGTACATTGCTCATGTTCTTTCCGTCACTGTTCTAAGTGATCGGGGAGAACGGTTCTCCATTGGGTTACTTATTTGCCTCAGTGATCTGGGGCAAATAGGTAACCTAAGTTGGGCAGAGGTGTCGTATGCCCGTATGCTTACTGTTATGGGCAAGGCTACCCAGGTGATGGATTCCGCGGCAGCTACTAAGGTGCCCCGTATCTCCATTTCATGGCACGACCGTATTCTTGAGGTACGTGTTCATTTCTTTTATATATTTTTCTTGTCTTTCTTTTACTTTTCGCTTGAGCTGATCACGTTTTGCTTGCCTTTTCTAGGCCTAGGGTCTCGTACCTGCCTTTCTTAGCCCCCAGGACTCTTAAGGGACTCGTTTCCCTATTGGCCATCGTTTGGCCATAATAAAGAAGAAACGAGCTACTATAGCCGGCGACTTTCGCCAGAGGATTCTTTCGGCGACTCGTGCGTCGGTGAGTATAGTTTTAGCAACATATGTCTTTATTTCTTTTGTTTAGTCGTCCTCATTTGTGATATAAAGTTGTGTTTTGTAGGTCAACCTTCGCCCTTGGAGCTTGGTCATAGGGGTCCCTGAGGCCGTCTGGGCAAGCGCTGTTCGCTGCCGTTTTCAGGCGCTTTATCAAGGACTCTCTTTGCTTCACCGGACGGACGTGTGGTTTCTAGGCGAGTGCGTCGTTTGGCAGTTCTCGTCCGAGGAGCCTTTGGTTCCCGCGGACCCTTTGATTCGGATGCTCCATCCGGATCTGCTGTCTACTGAGGATCGAGCTCAGGCGATACTTGGTTATCTTGCGGAGCAGCTGGTGCTGCCTGGAGCACCTTACCAGGTGATCCAGACTAACTCCATTTCCAGCTTTTGTTCCGATTAGTCTTTCTTCCTCTAGATTTTGTTGTGTTTTTTCAGCGTTCAGATATTGACCCGTTGTTTGTTTTTGCTTTACTTTTTTTTTTATAGAGGGTCGAGCTGGGTGGTTAGGTGCCTCCCGTGGCAGAGATCTTATATACCGACGCCTTTGGATTGGTAATTCACGAGACTCTTTTGGCAGCGGAGGATGAGGACATACCGTTCGTCCTAGAGACGGTCGAGTTGGTATGTTTTGTTTCGCATATGTACATAAGTTCTTTATTTATCATATACGTTTTTATAACTGTCCTATTTTTGGAACAGGTTCCACGGTAGACTGTGAACGACATGGTGATGATCCTTCGAGCTTTTCGAGCTGCTTATCGAAGGGCCCTCGTGGCTTTGTCATGCCGTGATCATCGGATGGTTGCGGTATTTTTCTTTCTTTTTTATTTCATCAAAGTTATTACATGTATGTGTATTAATCTTTGATTTGGATTTTGCAGGATGTGCAGCAACCTTCTGGGAGCTGCCGAGCACCTTGATTCCATCGTGTATATATTTTTTTTTATTTATGGGAAATGTATATATATTTTTATTTTTATTTTTTACACATACGATTTATGTACAGACAACGTATTTTATATATCGCCGTTTGTCTCTTATCGCATTTTATTTTCCATAAATATGTGTGCAAAAAATTTGCAAAAATTTCCGAGGGAGGGAAAGGTTTCCCGACTTACCCCCTCGAAAAAAAAAGAACGGAAATAGGAAAGGAAAAAGTAAAAAGTAGAATAAAAATAAATAAAAAAAGAAAGGAAAGAAAAAGAAAAGCAAGAAGGAGGAGGAAGAAAAAATAATAAAAATAAAAAAGTAGAAAAATAATAAAAAAAAAGAAAGGAAAAAGAAGGTAAATAAAAAAAGGTAAGCGTATGAGTTAATCATAAAAACCGTAACAATGTTTCCGTTATTTGTTAAACGAAACACGGAAATAACCAAAAATAATCTGCGATAGACTAGGTGCGCGCAACTCTGTGGGTTGCGCGTGAGTGTCGCGCGCGGCTGGCGCGCGCAACTGCGGGTGAACTTTCCTTCGAGCGAAATATGCTAAAAATCAGACCGCTTTGGTCTATTTAAACAAGGTTACGTTTAGGCTTTTGATTATCTCACATTCATTCGTCACCAAGAATTAGTATTACTCAAAAGGATTTTTATTACTCTCTCTCTTTTCTTAATTATTACAATGGTTAAAACTTTTGAGCATAGATTGAAACAATTGGTCACCTCCCTTTCTAGTGAGGATAAGCTAGCTTTCAAAATATACCATCTAGATCCCCTATTACTATATGCAACTCAACATTAACTTTGATTTTCTCCATGTAACCGTTAACCATTGGGAATCTAACCATCATCTTCTTCTCTTCAAAGGGGATGAAATAAT